AAAAAATAGGCAAATGAGTTTAACGGATCGTTCTCAGAAGAAGAAATACAATACCCAATAAATGCAGAGGAAAATGTTCAACATCTTTAGCTATAAAGGAAATGCAAATATCCCCGTCAGAATGGCAATCATCAAGAAAACAAACAACAAATGCTGGTGAAGAATGTGGGGTAATAAGTCATTCTTATACACTATTGGGTAGAAATGCAAAGTATGCAGCCCTTATGAAATCAGTATGAAGATTCCTCAAAAGCCTAAAAATAGATTTACTTTTTAACCCTGCCATACCACTCTGGGCATGTATCTGAAAGAATGCAAGTCAACATCAATGGAGACACCTGTACCACCAGTTTATAGCAACACCATTCACAACAGCCAAGCTATGGAATCAGCCTAGGTGCCCACAACCACCCAACAACCAATGAATGGATAAAGAAAATGTGCTCTATGTACATCAAGGGAGTATTATTCAGCCACAAAAAAGAAATGAAATTATTGTCATTTGCAGGAAAATGGATTGGAGATGACATCATTTGAGCAAAATAAACCAAGCTCAAATGCAAAATATCGCATGTTTTGCTCATATGCAGAATCTAGACCTAAGATGATGATGATGACAATGATGGCACATGAGTGCAGGAGTATAAAAGGGTAACTGTTGAGTGGGAGAACTAGCAGAGGAGGAGGGGAAAGGATAAGTGCTGGGTGAACATGTTTGAAATACAGTAGGTAAATGGATGATGGATAGATACATAGCAAAACAAAACCAAATACTGTTTGAAAACAGAGGGGAAGAGGGAAAATTTAAGGGAGCATAATAGAGGGAGTGAATTGATTCAAAGTATATTGTACAATACCTATGGAAATATCACAGTAAAACTCCTTGTGCAATTAATCAATGCTAATAAAAAGAGAAATTTCCTGGCTTGCAAAAACAAAACAAAACAAAACACAACCCAGGTTGCTAAGTTCTCCACCTTCCTCCACCACCAAACTTACAGATTGAATATGTTTGAAGAAGACTGAGAATTTGCATCTCTTAACAGTTCCCAGGTAAAGCCCATGCTGGTGGTACAGGATCAGACTTTCAAAGCCCTAGGCATAATGTAGCCTTCCTTGAAATACAAAATCTGCAAAGATGAGTGGAGAACAAGAGCAAGTGACTCTGGAAGTCAGGCTAAGGAGTTTAGATTTCCTTGTTTAGGCTATGAGAGCTGCTGAGCAGTTTTTCAAGAAGGTGGGACAAATTTCAGAACTGGGTGCTTTAGGAAGGGTTCTAACCACTGTGCTGGCAATGGAAAGGACCATCAAAGATTGTCATAGTTCGTAAGGTCAAAGTTTTAGGTTGTGATATGGATGTGAAAAAGGGATGGCAAAAGAAGACAGATGGTGCATACCCTCCACCATTCATTTTCTTTTAAATGAAAATAAATTTAAATACCCACATGCACAAGATTTCACAAAGCATTTCACTAGCAAAGTTTCTAAGCTAGTGGCTGTCAAAATTAAGGGTAGAAATTAATTAGAAAACCTTATGAAAAAATCAAGTGCCAGTTGAGCATGGTACATGCCTATAACTCCAATAATATGCAAGCGGAGGCAAGAGGATGGCGAGTTCTAGATCAGCCTGAACTACATAGCAAAACCCTGTCTCAAAAACAAACAACAAGCAAATGAACAAAAAAGCAAATAGCATCTATGTAAATACCCAAAATAAATGGAAGGGTCCTAACAGACATGTGTAGACCCCTGTTCAAAGCAGCATTATTCACAATAGCCAAAACATGGAAATAACCTGTGTCCAGCAAATGCAGAATCTACATGGAACGGGATATTATTCAACCTTCAAAAAGAAGGGAATTTCTCCAGGCATGGTAGCATATGCTTAGACTCCTAATACTTGGAAGGTTGAGGGGAGAGGATCCTGAGTTTGAGACCAGCCTGAACTACATAGCATGTTCAAGACCAGCTACATCTTGGATGAACCCTAAAAACATTAAGCTAAGTTAAATAAGCCAAACACACAACAATAAATGTTGTTTGACTCTACTTTGCTAAAGTACCTAGAAAAGTCAAATTCATAGACCACAGGCTGGGAGAAATGAGGAGTTGGGAGTTTAATGCAGACAGAGTTTCAGTTTGAGATGAAGATGTTTTGGAGAGGGATGGTGGCAATGGATGGAAAACATTGTAAATGTACCTAATGCTACTGAGTTGTACACTTGAAAATAAAATGGTAGCTTTTATGTTATGATACGTTACCACAACAAAAAATGATGCAAATGCCTGAAACAGTCCTCCAGCTAGAAGCTGTGATTCAGTGGTCTAGTTGGGCCCAAGAATCTGCACTTCAGTATCAAGTCCTGGGGATCTGAAAGCCAACACTGGAGGACAAACACCTCAATCTCAGATCTAGAGGAAACTAGCTCCTCTGAACTAAAGCCTTTTGTGAGTGAGAAGATGGTGTTTTGCTGAAAGGAAGCATTTTCAAGTACCACTCAGACCTGAAGAGTCCCATGTCAAGTATGGATGCTCATAGAATTTCTCTGACTATAAGAAATTCAACAGCTTTCTGCATCCCGGGCTGTCCTTAGCACATGAAGACAGCCACCTTGGGAAAGGCTCCCTTCCTGCAATTCTTGTGCGCCCTGTTTTCTGTAATAGTGACTAGAGGCACAAATAAAGCAGTGTAAACACAGATGATGAACTTTGTGAAGCTGAAGTAGAATGTCTGCATTTATGGCTTGATCTTTGTACATTATTGATGCCCCAGCATTCAATGAGTATTAATTAATTTGAGCCAGGAAGCAGCCCAGTAGGAAACAGAATGGAATATAGATGAGGATAATGGGGGTTGGAGACATGGAAGCAGGCTAACAAATGCAAACAAGGTCTGCATTAGACCTCTAGTAATTTAACCCTGCAGATCACAGAGTAACTCCTCTCCAGCCTGAACTCATGCATTGCATAATTCCAGTATAATACACATTTACCTCTGTCACCCTTACAGGAACTGAAAATAATATGACAATATAGTTGACTCTGTAGCCATTCCAGGTGGTAATTTAAGAAGAAGGACTCTGAGCTCAGAAGAAATGAGAAAGGCAGGAATCAAAAAAGAAGACAGATAATTAATATGCAAATTATATGACAATAATATGAGATTAAAGTATTTTTTACACTGGGAATATAGCATAGGAATGATGCAATGATTATGTCAACCTGGGTGGGTCATGGGGTGCCCAGATATTTGGTTAAACATTATTCTGGAGGTTTCTGTGAGGGTGTTTTGGGTCAGAATAACATTTAAATTAGTGAACTTTGGTTAAATCAGACTGATTCCTAAAATGTGCAAGTCTTCATCCAATAAGTTGAAGGTATAAATGAAACAAAAAAATGGCCTTCTCCAGCACAAGGGGATCCTCCAGGAGACTGCACCTGACTTCATCTGCACCATCAGCTCTTCCTAGTTCAACAGCAGCCTGCTGCCTCTGGACCTGACCTGGAACATAGGCTCTCCTGGGTCTTCAGCTGACTGGTCCATCCTGCAGACTTTGGACTTGCCAGCCTCCATAGTCATGTGACCCACT